ATGGAAAGCGGGAGAATTGGGGCGGGGTGATGGAAAGCGGGAGAATGGGGCGGGGTGATGGAAAGAGGGAGAATGGGGCGGGGTGATGGAAAGAGGGAGAATGGGGCGGGGTGATGGAAAGCGGGAGAATGGGGCGGGGTGATGGAAAGCGGGAGAATGGGGTGGGGTGATGGAAAGCGGGAGAATGGGGCGGGGTGATGGAAAGAGGCGGGAGAATGGGGCGGGGTGATGGAAAGTGGGAGAATGGGGCGGGGTGATGGAAAGCGGGAGAATGGGGCGGGGTGATGGAAAGCGGGAGAATGGGGCGGGGTGATGGAAAGAGGCAGGAGAATGGGGCGGGGTGATGGAAATCGAAAGAATGGGGCGGGGTGATGGAAAGAGGGAGAATGGGGCGGGGTGATGGAAAGAGGGACAATGGGGCGGGGTGATGGAAAGAGGGAGAATGGGGCGGGGTGATGGAAAGCGGGAGAATGGGGCGGGGTGATGGAAAGCGGGAGAATGGGGCGTGGTGATGGAAAGTTGGAGAATGGGGCGGGGTGATGGAAAGCGGGAGAATGGGGCGGGATGATGGAAAGCGGGAGGTAGGGGCGGGGTGATGGAAAGCAGGAGAATGGGGCGGGGTGATGGAAAGCGGGAGAATGGGGCGGGGTGATGGAAAGAGGGAGAATGGGGCGGGGTGATGGAAAGCAGGAGAACGGGGCGGGGTGATGGAAAGCGGGAGAATGGGGCGGGGTTATGGAAAGTGGGAGAATGGGGCGCCCATAGAGATAGGCGCCCCTGGAGATAGGCGCCCCTAGAGATAGGTGCCCCTAGAGGTAAGCGCCCCTAGAGATGGGCGCCCATAGAGATAGGCGCCTTAAGAGATTGGCGCCCATAGAGATAGGCGCCCTTAGAGATAGGAGCCCCTAGAGATAGGTGCCCCTAGAGATAGGCGCCCCTAGAGATAGGCACCCCTAGAGATAGGCGCCCCTAGAGAAAGGCGCCCCTAGAGATAGGCGCCCCTAGAGATAGTTGCCCTCGGAGATAGGCGCCCCTAGAGATGGGCGCCCATAGAGATAGGCGCCTCTATAGATAGTCGCGAGGCGCCCATAGAGATAGGCGCCCATAGAGATAGGCGCCCCTAGAAATAGGCGCCCCTAGAGATAGGCGCCCCTAGAGATAGGCGCCCGTAGAGATAGGCGCCCCTAGAGATAGGCGCCCATAGAGATAGGCGACCATAGAGATAGGCGCCCCTAGAGATAGGCGCCCATAGAGATAGGCGCCCATAGAGATAGGCACCCTTAGAGATAGGAGCCCCTAGAGACAGGCGCCCATGGAGATAGGCGCACATAGAGATAGGCGCCCCTAGAGATTGACACCCCTAGAGATAGGCGCCTATAGAGATAGGCGCCGCTAAAGATAGGCGCCCATAGAGATAGGCGCCCCTAGAGATAGGCGCCCATAGAGATAGGCGCCCTTAGAGATAGGCGCCCCTAGAGATAGGCGCCCCTAGAGATAGGCGCCCATAGAGATAGGCGCCCAAAGAGATAGGCGCCCATAGAGATAGGCGCCCCTAGAGATAGGCGCCCATAGAGATAGGCGCCCCTAGAGATAGCCGCCCCTAGAGATAGGCGCCCATAGAGATAGGCGCCCTTAGGGATAGGCGCCCATAGAGATAGGCGCCCATAGAGATAGGCGCCCATAGAGATAGGCGCCCATAGAGATAGGCGCCCATAGATATAGGCGCCCTTAGGGGTAGGAGCCCATAGAGATAGGCGCCCCTAGAGATAGGCGCCCCTAGTGATAGGCGCCCATAGAGATAGGCGCCCATAGAGATAGGCGCCCTTAGGGATAGGAGCACATAGAGATAGGCGCCCATAGAGATAGGCGCCCATAGAGGTAGGCGCCCATAGAGATAGGCGCCCCTAGAGATAGGCGCCCATAGAGATAGGCGCCCATAGATATAGGCGCCCGTAGGGATAGGCGCCCATAGAGATAGGCGCCCCTAGAGATAGGCGCCCATAGAGATAGGCGCCCATAGAGATAGGCGCCCTTAGGGATAGGCGCCCATAGAGATAGGCGCCCATAGAGATAGGCGCCCAAAGAGATAGGCGCCCCTAGAGATAGGCGCCCTCAGAGATAGGCGCCCCTAGAGATAGGCGGCTCTAGAGATAGGCGCCCCTAGAGATAGGCGCCCCTAGAGATAGGCGCCCCACGAGATAGGCACCCCTAGAGATAGGCGCCCACAGAGATAGGCACCCATAGAGATAGGCGCCCTTAGAGATAGGCGCCCCTAGTGATAGCCGCCCCTAGAGATAGGCACCCCTAGAGATAGGCGCCCCTAGAGATAGGCGCCCCTGGGGATAGACGCCCCTTGAGATACGTGCCCCTAGAGATAGGCGCCCCTAGAGATAGGCGCCCCTAGAGATAGGCGTCCATAGAGATAGGCGCCGCTAGAGATAGGCGCCCGTAGAGATAGGCGCCCCTAGAGATAGGCGCGCATAGAGATAGGCGACCATAGAGATAGGCGCCCCTAGAGATAGGCGCCCATAGAGATAGGCGCCCATAGAGATAGGCGCCCTTAGAGATAGGAGCCCCTAGAGACAGGCGCCCATGGAGATAGGCGCACATAGAGATAGGCGCCCCTAGAGATTGACACCCCTAGAGATAGGCGCCTATAGAGATAGGCGCCGCTAAAGATAGGCGCCCATAGAGATAGGCGCCCCTAGAGATAGGCGCCCATAGAGATAGGCGCCCTTAGAGATAGGCGCCCCTAGAGATAGGCGCCCCTAGAGATAGGCGCCCATAGAGATAGGCGCCCAGAGAGATAGGCGCCCATAGAGATAGGCGCCCCAAGAGATAGGCGCCCATAGAGATAGGCGCCCCTAGAGATAGCCGCCCCTAGAGATAGGCGCCCAAAGAGATAGGCGCCCTTAGGGATAGGCGCCCATAGAGATAGGCGCCCATAGAGATAGGCGCCCATAGAGATAGGCGCCCCTAGAGATAGGCGCCCTCAGAGATAGGCGCCCCTAGAGATAGGCGGCCCAAGAGATAGGCGCCCCTAGAGATAGGCGCCCCTAGAGATAGGCGCCCCACGAGATAGGCGCCCCTAGAGATAGGCGCCCCTAGAGATAGGCACCCATAGAGATAGGCACCCATAGAGATAGGCGCCCCTAGAGATAGCCGCCCCTAGAGATAGGCACCCCTAGAGATAGGCGCCCCTAGAGATAGGCGCCCCTGGGGACAGACGCCCCTTGAGATACGTGCCCCTAGAGATAGGCGCCCCTAGAGATAGGCGCCCCTAGAGATAGGCGTCCATAGAGATAGGCGCCGCTAGAGATAGGCGCCCGTAGAGATAGGCGCCCCTAGAGATAGGCGCCCATAGAGATAGGCGACCATAGAGAAAGGCGCCCCTAGAGATAGGCGCCCATAGAGATAGGCGCCCATAGAGATTGGCGCCCTTAGAGATAGGAGCCCCTAGAGACAGGCGCCCATAGAGATAGGCGCACATAGAGATAGGCGCCCCTAGAGATTGACACCCCTAGAGATAGGCCCCTATAGAAATAGGCGCCGCTAAAGATAGGCGCCCATAGAGATAGGCGCCCCTAGAGATAGGCGCCCATAGAGATAGGCGCCCTTAGAGATAGGCGCCCCTAGAGATAGGCGCCCCTAGAGATAGGCGCCCATAGAGATAGGCGCCCAAAGAGATAGGCGCCCATAGAGATAGGCGCCCCTAGAGATAGGCGCCCATAGAGATAGGCGCCCCTAGAGATAGCCGCCCCTAGAGATAGGCACCCCTAAAGATAGGCGCCCCTAGAGATAGGCGCCCTTGGGGATAGACGCCCCTAGAGATACGTGCCCCTGGAGATAGGCGCCCCTAGAGATTGGCGCCCCTAGAGATTGGCGCCCATAGAGATAGGCGGCCATAGAGATAAGCGCCCCCAGAGATAGGCACCCATAGAGATAAGTGCCCACAGAGATAGGCGCCCCCTAGAGATAGGCACCCCTAGAGATAGGCAAGCATAGAGATAGGCACCCCTAGAGATAGGCGCCCCTAGAGATAGGTGCCCCTAGAGATAGGCGCCCCTAGAGATAGGCACCCCTAGAGATAGGCGCCCATAGAGATAGGCGGCCATAGAGATCGGCGCCCTTAGAGATAGGAGCCCCTAGAGATAGGCGCCCCTAGAGATAGGCGCCCCTAGAGAAAGGCGCCCCTAGAGATATGCGCCCATAGAGATAGGCCCCCCAAGAGATAGGTGTCCCTAGAGAAAGGCGCCCCTAGAGATAGGCGCCCATAGAGATAGGCGCCCCTAGAGATAGTCGCCCTCAGAGATAGGCGCCCCTAGAGATGGGCGCCCATAGAGATAGGCGCCTCTATAGATAGGCGCGAGGCGCCCATAGAGATTGGCGCCCATACAGATAGGCGCCCCTAGAGATAGGGGTCCCTAGAGATAGGCGCCCCTATAGATAGGCGCCTCTAGAGATAGGCGCCCCTAGAGATAGGCGCCCCTAGAGTTTGGCGCCCATAGAGATAGGCGGCCATAGAGATCGGCGCCCTTAGGGATAGGAGCCCATAGAGATAGGCGCCCCTAGAGATAGGGGACCCTAGAGATAGGCGCCCATAGAGATAGGCGCCCATAGAAATAGGCGCCCCTAGAGATAGGCGCCCTTAGAGATAAGCGCCCCTAGAGAGAGGCGCCCCTAGAGATAGGCGCCCATAGAGATAGGCGCCCCTAGAGATAGGCGCCCTCAGAGATAGGCGCCCCTAGAGATAGGCGCCCCTAGAGATAGGCGCCTCTAGAGATAGGCGCCCCTAGAGATAGGCGCCCCTAGAGATAGGCACCCCTAGAGATAGGCGCCCATAGAGATAGGCGCCCATAGAGATAGGCGCCCTTAGAGATAAGAGCCCATAGAGATAGGCGCCCCTAGAGATAGGCGCCCCTAGAGATAGGCCCCCCTAGAGATAGGCGCCCCTAGAGAAAGGCGCCCCTAGAGATAGGCGCCCATAGAGATAGGCGCCCCTAGAGATAGGCGCCCTCAGAGATCGGCGTCCCTAGAGATAGGCGCGAGGCACCCATAGAGATAGGCGCCCCTAGAGATAGGCGCCGCTGGAGATAGGCGCCCCTAGAGATAGGCACCCCTAGAGATAGGCGCGCATAGAGATAGGCGCCCCTAGAGACAGGGGCCCCTAGAGATAGGCGCCCCTAGAGATAGGCACCCCTAGAGATAGGCGCCCATAGAGATAGGCACCCATAGAGATAGGCGCCCTTAGAGATAGGAGCCCCTAGCGATAGGCGCCCCTAGAGATAGGCGCCCCTAAAGATAGGCCCCCCAAGAGATAGGCGCCCCTAGAGAAAGGCGCCCCTAGAGATATGCGCCCATAGAGATAGGCGCCCCTAGAGATAGTCGCCCTCAGAGATATGCGCCCCTAGAGATGGGCGCCCATAGAGATAGGCGCCTCTATAGATAGGCGCCCCTAGAGATAGGCGCCCTCAGAGATAGGCGCCCCTAGAGATAGGCGCCCCTAGAGATAGGCGCCCCTAGAGATAGGCGCCCCTAGAGATAGGCGCCCCTAGAGATAGGTGCCCCTAGAGATTGGTGCCCATAGAGATAGGCGCCCATAGAGATAGGCGCCCTTAGAGATAGGCACCCCTAGAGATAGGCGCCCCTTGAGATAGACGCCCATAGAGATAGGCGCCCATAGAGATAGGTGCCCTTAGAGATTGGCACCCATAGAGATATGCGCCCCTAAAGATAGGCGCTCCTAGAGATAGGCACCCCTAGAGATAGGCGCCACTAGAGATAGGCGCCCCTAGAGATAGGCGCACATAGAGATAGGCACCCCTAGAGATAGGCGCCCATAGAGATAGGCGCCCATAGAGATAGGCGCCCATAGAGATAGGCGCCCATAGAGATAGGCGCCCATAGAGATAGGCGCCCATAGAGATAGGCGCCCATAGAGATATGCGCCCATAGAGATAGGCGCCCATAGAGATAGGCGCCCATAGAGATAGGCGCCCATAGAGATAGGCGCCCATAGAGATAGGCGCCCATAGAGATAGGCGCCCATAGAGATAGGCGCCCATAGAGATAGGCGCCCATAGAGATAGGCGCCCATAGAGATAGGCGCCAATAGAGATAGGCGCCCATAGAGATAGGCGCCCATAGAGATAGGCGCCCATAGAGATAGGCACCCATAGAGATAGGCGCCCATAGAGATAGGCGCCCATAGAGATATGCGCCCTTAGAGATAGGCGCTCCTAGAGATAGGCGCCCCTAGAGATAGGCGCTTCTAGAGATAGGCGCCCATAGAGATAGGCGCCCCTAGAGATAGGCCCCCATAGAGATAGGCGCCCCTAGAGATAGGCGCCACTAGAGATAGGCGCCCCTAGAGATAGGCGCCCATAGAGATAGGCGCCCATAGAGATAGGCGCCCATAGAGATAGGCGCCCATAGAGATAGGCGGCCATAGAGATAGGCGCCCATAGAGATAGGCGCCCATAGAGATAGGAGCCCATAGAGATAGGCGCCCATAGAGATCGACGCCCATAGAGATAGGCGCCCCTAGAGATAGGCGCCCCTAGAGATAGGCGCCCATAGAGATAGGCGCCCATAGAGATAGGCGCCCATAGAGATAGGTGCCCCTAGAGATTGGCGCCCATAGAGATAGGCACCCCTAGAGATAGGCGCCCATAGAGATAGGCGCCCATAGAGATAGGCGCCCATAGAGATAGGCGCCCATAGAGATAGGCGCCCATAGAGATAGGCGCCCCTAGAGATAGGCGCCCCTAGAGATAGGCGCCCATAGAGATAGGCGCCCCTAGAGATAGGCGCCACTCGAGATAGGCGCCCCTAGAGATAGGCGTCCATAGAGATAGGCACCCCTAGAGATAGGCGCCCATAGAGATAGGCGCCCATAGAGATAGGCGCCCATAGAGATAGGCGCCCATAGAGATAGGCGCCCATAGAGGTAGGCGCCCATAGAGATAGGCGCCCATAGAGATAGGCACCCATAGAGATAGGCGCCCATAGAGATAGGCGCCCCTAGAGATAGGCGCCCATAGAGATATGCGCCCCTAGAGATAGGCACCCTAGAGATAGGCGCCCCTAGAGATAGGCGCCCCTAGAGATAGGCGCCCATAGAGATAGGCGCCCCTAGAGATAGGCGCCACTAGAGATAGGCGCCCCTAGAGATAGGCGCCCATAGAGATAGGCGCCCATAGAGATAGGCGCCCAAAGAGATTGGCGCCCATAGAGATAGGCGCCCATAGAGATAGGCGCCCATAGAGATAGGCGCCCATAGAGATAGGTGCCCCGAGAGATTGGCGCCCATAGAGATATGCGCCCCTAGAGATAGGCGCTCATAGAGATAGGCGCCCCTAGAGATAGGCGCCCCTAGAGATAGGCGCCCATAGAGATAGGCGCCCCTAGAGATAGGCGCTTCTAGAGATAGGCGCCCATAGAGATAGGCGCCCCTAGAGATAGGCGCCCATAGAGATAGGCGCCCCTAGAGATAGGCGCCACTAGAGATAGGCGCCCCTAGAGATAGGCGCCCATAGAGATATGCGCCCATAGAGATAGGCGCCCATAGAGATAGGAGCCCATAGAGATAGGCGCCCATAGAGATAGGCGCCCATAGAGATAGGCGCCCATAGAGATAGGCGCCCATAGAGATAGGCGCCCATAGAGATAGACGCCCATAGAGATAGGCGCCTCTAGAGATAGGCGCCTCTAGGGGCGCATATCTCTATGGGCGCCAATCTCTAGGGGCACCTATCTCTATGGGCGCCTATCTCTATGGGCGCCTATCTCTATGGGCGCCTATCTCTATGGGCGCCTAGCTCTTTGGGCGCCTATCTCTATGGGTGCCTATCTCTAGGGGCGCCTATCTCTAGGGGGGCCTATCTCTATGGGTGCCTGTCTCTATGGGCGCCTATCTCTATGGGCGCCTATCTCTATCAGTGCCTATCTCTAGGGGTGCCTATCTCTATGGCCGCCTATCTCTAGGGGCGCCTATCTCTAGTGGTGCCTATCTCTATGGGCGCCTATCTCTATGGGCGCCTATCTCTAGGGGCGCCTATCTCTAGGGGCGCCTATCTGTATGAGCGCCTATCTCTAGGGGCGCATGTCTCTATGGGCGCCAATCTCTAGGGGCACCCATCTCTATGGGTGCCTATCTCTATGGGCGCCTATCTCTATGGGCGCCTATCTCTTTGAGCGCCTATCTCTATGGGCGCCTATCTCTATTGGCGCCTATCTCTAGGGGCGCCTATCTCAAGTGGCGCCTATCTCTAGGGGCGCCTATCTCTATGGGCGCCTATCTCTAGGGGCGCCTATCTCTAGGGGCGCCTATCTCTAGGGGTGCCTATCTTTAGGGGCGCATATCTCTATGGGCGCCCATCTCTAGGGGCGCCTATCTCTATGGGCGCCTATCTCTATGGGAGCCAATCTCTATGGGCGCCTATCTCTATGGGCGCCTATCTCTATGGGCGCCTATCTCTATGGGCGCCTACCTCTATGGGCGCCTATCTCTATGGGCGCCTATCTCTATGGGCGCCTATCTCTATGGGCGCTTATCTCTATGGGCGCCTATCTCTAGGGGTGCCAAACTCTATGGACGCCTATCTCTAGGGGGGCCTATCTCTAGGGGCGCCTATCTCTATAGGCGCCTATCTCTAGGGGCGCCTATCTCTAGGGGCGCCTATCTCTAGGAGCGCCTATCTCTAGGGACGCATATCTCTATGGGCACCAATCTCTAGGGGCACCTATCTCTATGGGCGCCTATCTCTATGGGCGCCTATCTCTAGGGGCGCCTATCTCTATGGGCGCCTATCTTTAGGGGCGCCTATCTCTATTGGCGCCTATCTCTATGGGCACCTATCTCTATGGGCGCCTATCTCTAGGGGCGCCTATCTCTAGGGGCGCCTATCTCTATGGGCGCCTATCTCTATGGGCGCCTATCTCTATGGGCGCCTATCTCTATGGGCGCCTATCTCTATGGGCGCCTATCTCTATGGGCGCCTATCTCTATGGGCGCCTATCTCTATGGGCGCCTATCTCTATGGGCGCCTATCTCTATGGGCGCCTATCTCTAGGGGCGCCTATCTCTAGTGGCGCCTATCTCTAGGGTTGCCTATCTCTAAGAGCGCCTATCTCTAGGGGCGCATATCTCTATGGGCGCCAATCTCTAGGGGCACCTATCTCTATGGGCGCCTATCTCTATGGGCGCCTATGTCTATGGGCGCCTATCTCTAGGGGCGCCTATCTCTAGGGGCGCCTATCTCTATGGGCGCCTATCTCTATGGGCGCCTATCTCTATGGGCGCCTATCTCTATGGGCGCCTATCTCTATGTGCGCCTATCTCTAGGGGCGCCTATCTCTATGGGCGCCAATCTCTATGGGCACCTATCTCTATGGGCGCCTATCTCTAGGGGCGCCTATCTCTATGGGCGTCTATCTCTATGGGCGTCTATCTCTATGGGCGCCTATCTCTATGTGCGCCTATCTCTATGGGCGCCTATCTCTATGGGCGCCTATCTCTATGGGCGCCTATCTCTATGGGCGCCTATCTCTATGGGCGCCTATCTCTATGGGCGCCTAGCTCTATGGGCGCCTATCTCTAGGGGCGCCTATCTCTAGTGGCGCCTATCTCTAGGGGCGCCTATCTCTATGGGCGCCTATCGCTAGGGGCGCCTATCTCTATGGGCGCCAATCTCTAGAAGCGCCTATCTCTAGGGGCGCCTATCTCTAGGAGCGCCTATCTCTATGGGCGCCTATCTCTATGGGTGCCTATCTCTATGGGCGCCTATCTCTATGGGCGCCTATCTATATGGGCGCCTATCTCTATGGGCGCCTATCTCTATGGGCGCCTATCTCTATGGGCGCCTATCTCTATGGGCGCCTATCTCTATGGGCGCCTATCTCTATGGGCGCCTATCTCTATGGGCGCCTAGCTCTTTGGGCGCCTATCTCTATGGGTGCCTATCTCTAGGGGCGCCTATCTCTAGGGGCGCCTATCTCTATGGGTGCCTTTCTCTATGGGCGCCTATCTCTATGGGCGCCTATCTCTATCGGTGCCTATCTCTAGGGGTGCCTATCTCTATGGCCGCCTATCTCTAGGGGCGCCTATCTCTAGTGGTGCCTATCTCTATGGGCGCCTATCTCTATGGGCGCCTATCTCTAGGGGCGCCTATCTCTAGGGGCGCCTATCTGTATGAGCGCCTATCTCTAGGGGCGCATGTCTCTATGGGCGCCAATCTCTAGGGGCACCCATCTCTATGGGCGCCTATCTCTATGGGCGCCTATCTCTATGGGCGCCTATCTCTATGGGCGCCTAGCTCTTTGGGCGCCTATCTCTATGGGTGCCTATCTCTAGGGGCGCCTATCTCTAGGGGCGCCTATCTCTATGGGTGCCTGTCTCTATGGGCGCCTATCTCTATGGGCGCCTATCTCTATCGGTGCCTATCTCTAGGGGTGCCTATCTCTATGGCCGCCTATCTCTAGGGGCGCCTATCTCTAGTGGTGCCTATCTCTATGGGCGCCTATCTCTATGGGCGCCTATCTCTAGGGGCGCCTATCTCTAGGGGCGCCTATCTGTATGAGCGCCTATCTCTAGGGGCGCATGTCTCTATGGGCGCCAATCTCTAGGGGCACCCATCTCTATGGGCGCCTATCTCTATGGGTGCCTATCTCTATGGGCGCCTATCTCTATGGGCGCCTATCTATATGGGCGCCTATCTCTATGGGCGCCTATCTCTATGGGCGCCTATCTCTATGGGCGCCTATCTCTATGGGCGCCTATCTCTATGGGCGCCTATCTCTATGGGCGCCTATCTCTATGGGCGCCTATCTCTATGGGCGCCTATCTCTATTGGCGCCTATCTCTATGGGCGCCTATCTCTATGGGCGCATATCTCTATGGGTGCCTATCTCTATGGGCGCCTATCTCTATGGGCGCCTATCTCTATGGGCGCCTATCTCTATGGGCGCCTATCTCTATGGGCGCCTATCTCTAGGGGCGCCTATCTCTATGTGCGCCTATCTCTAGGGGCGCCTATCTCTAGTGGCACCTATCTCTAGGGGCGCCTATCTCTATGGGCGCCTATCTCTAGGGGCGCCTATCTCTAGGGGCGCCTATCTCTAGGAGCGCCTATCTTTAGGGGCGCATATCTCTATGGGCGCCAATCTCTAAGGGCACCTATTTCTATGGGCGCCCATCTCTATGGGCGCCTATCTCTAGGGGCGGCTATCTCTATGGGCGTCTATCTCAAGGGGCGCCTATCTCTAGGGGTGCCTATCTCTATGGGCGCCTATCTCTATGGGCGCCTATCTCTATGGGCTCCTATCTCTATGGGCACCTCTCTTTAGGGGCGCCAAACTCTAGAGGCGCCTATCTCTATGAGCGCCCCTCTTTACGGGCGCCTATCTCTAGGGGCACCTATCTCTAGGGGCGCCTATCTCTAGGGGGCCCTATCTCTAGGGGCGACTATCACTAGGGGCGCCTATCTCTATGGGCACCTATCTCTATGGGCGCCTATCTCTATGGGCGCCTATCTCTATGGGCGCCTACCTCTATGGGCGCCTATCTCTAGAGGTGCCTATCTATAGGGGCGCCTATCTCTAGGGGCCCCTATCTCTAGGGGCGACTATCTCTAGGGGCGCCTATCTCTATGGGCGCCAATCTCTAGGGGCGCCTATCTCTATGGGTGTCTATCTCTAGAGGCGCCTATCTCTATGGGCGCCTATCTCTAGGGGCGCCTGTCTCTAGGGGCGCCTATCTCTATGGGCGCCTATCTCTATGGGCGCCTATCTCTAGGGGCGCCTATCTCTATGGGCGCCTATCTCTATGGGCGCCTCGCGCCTATCTCTAGAGGCGCCTATCTCTATGGGCGCCCATCTCTAGGGGCGCCTATCTCTATGGGCGCCTATCTCTAGGGGCGCCTTTCCCTGGGGGCGCCTGTCTCTAGGGGGGCCTATCTCTATGGGCGCCTATCTCTAGGGGCGCCTATCTCTATGGGCTCCTATCTCTAAGGGCGCCTATCTCTATGGGCGCCTATCTCTATGGGCAACTATCTCTAGGGGCGCCTACCTCTAATGGCGCCTATCTCTATGGGTGACTATCTCTAGGGGCGACTATCTCTAGGGGCCCATATCTCTAAGGGGGCCTATCTCTCGGGGCGCCTATCTCTAAGGGCACCTATCTCTATGGGCGCCTGTCTCTAGGGGCGCCTATCTCTATGGGCGCCCATCTCTATGGGCGCCTATCTCTAGGGGCTCCTATCTCTAGGGGCGCCTATCTCTATGGGCGCCTATCTCTATGGGTGCCTCGCGCCTATCTCTAGAGGCGCCTATCTCTCTAGACACCCATCTCTAGGGACGCCGATCTCTGAGGGCGCCTTTCTCTAGGGGCGCCTATCTCTAGGGTCGCTTGCCTCTATGGACGCCTATCTCTAGGGGCGCCTCTCTAGGGGCGCCTATCTCTAGGGGCTCCTATCCCTAGGGGCGCCTATCTCTAGGGGCGCGTATCTCTAGGGGCGCCTATCTCTAGGGGCGCCTGTCTCTAGGGGCGCCTATCTCTATGGGCGCCTATCTCTATGGGCGCCTATCTCTAGGGGCGCCTGTCTATATGCGCGCCTATCTCTAGGGGCGCCTATCTCTAGGGGCGCCTAGCTCTAGGGGCGCCTATCTCTATGGGCGCCTATCTCTATGGGCGCCTATCTCTATGGGCACCTCTCTTTAGGGGCGCCAATCTCTAGAGGCGCCTATCTCTATGAGCGCCCCTCTTTCCAGGCGCCTATCTCTAGGGGCACCTATCTCTAGGGGCGCCTATCTCCAGGGGCGCCTATCTCTAGGGGCGCCATCTGTATGGGCTCCTATCTCTCAGGGCGCCTATCTCTATGGGCGCCTATCTCTATGGGCGCCTATCTCTAGGGGCGCCTATCTCTAGGGGCGCCTATCTCTATGGGCGCCTACCTCTATGGGCGCCTATCTCTAGAGGCGCCTATCTATAGGGGCGCCTATCTCTAGGGGGCCCTATCTCTAGGGGCGACTATCTCTAGGGGCGCCAATCTCTATGGGCACCTATCTCTATGGGCGCCTATCTCTATGGGCGCCTATCTCTATGGGCGCCTACCTCTATGGGCGCCTATCTCTAGAGGCGCCTATCTATAGGGGCGCCTATCTCTAGGGGCCACTATCTCTAGGGGCGACTATCTCTAGGGGCGCCTATCTCTAGGGGCGCCTATCTGTATGGGCGTCTATCTCTGGAGGCGCCTATCTCTATGGGCGCCTATCTCTAGGGGCGCCTGTCTCTAGGGGCGCCTATCTCTATGGGCGCCTATCTCTATGGGTGCCTATCTCTAGGGGCGCCTATCTCTATGGGCGCCTATCTCTATGGGCGCCTCGCGCCTATCTCTAGAGGCGCCTATCTCTATGGGCGCCCATCTCTAGGGGCGCCTATCTCTGAGGGCACCTATCTCTAGGTGCGCCTATCTCTATGGGCACCTATCTCTTGGGGCGCCTTTCTCTGGGGGCGCCTGTCTCTAGGGGGGGCTATCTCTAGGGGCGCCTATCTCTAGGGGCGCCTATCTCTATGCACGCCTATCTCTAGGGGTGCCTATCTCTAGGGGCGCTTATCTCCTGCGGCGCCTATCTCTAGGGGCGCCTATCTCTATGGGCGCCTATCTTTATGGGTGCCTCGCGCCTATCTCTAGAGGCGCCTATCTCTATGGGCACCCATCTCTAGGGACGCCGATCTCTGAGGGCGCCTATCTCTAGGGGCGCCTATCTCTATGGGCGCCTATCTCTAGGGGCGTCTTACTCTAGGGGCGCCTATCTCTAGGGGGGCCTATCTCTAGGGGCGCCTATCTCTAGGGGCGCCTATCTCTATGGGCTCTTATCTCTAAGGGCGCCTATCTATATGGGCGCCTATCTCTATGGGCGCCTATCTCTAGGGGCGCCTATCTCTAGGGGCGCCTATCTCTAGGGGAGCCAATCTCAAGAGGCGCCTATCTCTAGGGGCGCCTATCTCTAGGGGCGCCTAACTCTGAGGGCGCCTATCTCTAGGGGCGCCTATCTCTATGGGCGCCTATCTCTAGGGGCCCCTCTCTCTAGGGGCGCCTATCTCTTAGGGCGCCTATCTCTAGGGGCGCCTATTTCTATGGGCGCCTATCTCTATGGGCGCCTATCTCCAGGGCCCCCTATCTCTAGGGGCGCCTATCTCTATGGGCTCCTATCCCTAAGGGCGCCTATCTCTATGGGCGCCTATCTCTATGGGCGCCTAACTCTAGGGGCGCCTATCTCTAGGGGCGCCTATCTCTATGGGCGTCTATCTCTATGGGCGCCTATCTCTAGAGGCGCCTATCTATAGGGGCGCCTATCTCTAGGGACCCCTATCTCTAGGGGCGCCTATCTGTATGGGCGCCAATCTCTATGGGCGCCTCGCGCCTATCTATAGAGGCGCCTATCTCTATGGGCGCCCATCTCTAGGGGCGCCTATCTCTGAGGGCGACTATCTCTAGGGGCGCCTATCTCTATGGGCGCCTATCTCTTGGGCGCCTATCTCTATGGGCGACTATCTCTAGGGGCGCCTTTCTCTAGGGACGCCTATCTCTTGGGGGGCCTATCTCTATGGGCGCATATCTCTAGGGGCGCCTTTCTCTAGGGGCGCCTATCTCTAGGGGCGCCTATCTCTAGGGGCTCCTATCTCTAAGGGCGCCTATCTCTATGGGCGCCTATCTCTATGGGCGCCTATCTCTAGGGGTGCCTATCTCTAGGGGCGCCTATCTCTAGGGGCACCTATCTCTAGGGGCGCCTATCTCTAGGGGCGCCTATCTCTATGTGCGCCTATCTCTAGGGGTGCGTATCTCTAGGGGGCGCCTATCTCTGTGGGCGCATATCTCTATGGGTGCCTATCTCTGGGGGCGCTTATCTCTATGGGCGCCTATCTCTATGGGCGCCTATCTCTATGGGCGCCTATCTCTAGGGGCGCCAATCTCTAGGGGCGCCTATCTCTAGGGGCACGTATCTCTAGGGGCGTCTATCCCCAAGGGCGCCTATCTCTAGGGGCGCCTATCTTTAGGGGTGCCTATCTCTAGGGGCGGCTATCTCTAGGGGCGCCTATCTCTATGGGCGCCTATCTCTTTGGGCGCCTATCTCTATGGGCGCCTATCTCTTTGGGCGCCTATCCCTATGGGCGCCTATCTCTAGGGGCGCCTATCTCTAGGGGCGCCTATCTCTAAGGGCGCCTATCTCTATGGGCGCCTATCTCTAGGGGCGCCTATCTCTATGGGCGCCTATCTTTAGCAGCTCCTATCTCTAGGGGTGTCAATCTCTAGGGGCGCCTATCTCTATGTGCGCCTATCTCTATGGGCGCCTGTCTCTAGGGGCTCCTTTCTCTAAGGGCGCCTATCTCTATGGGCGCCTATCTCTATGGGAGCCTATCTCTAGGGGCGACTATCTCTATGGTCGCCTATCTCTATGGGCGCCTATCTCTAGGGGCGCCTATCTCTACGGGCGCCTATCTCTAGCGGCGCCTATCTCTATGGACGCTTATCTCTAGGGGCCCCTATCTCTAGGGGCGCCTATCTCTAGGGGCACGTATCTCAAGGGGCGTCTATCCCCAGGGGCGCTTATCTCTAGGAGCGCCTATCTCTAGGGGTGCCTATCTCTAGGGGCAGCTATCTCTTGGGGCGCCTATCTCTAAGGGCGCCTATCTCTATGGGTGCCTATCTCTATGGGCGCCTATCTCTAGGGGCGCTTATCTCTTGGGGCGCCTATCTCTAGGGGCGCCTATCTCTAGGGGCGCCTATCTCTAGGGCCGCCTATCTCTAGGGGCGCCTATCTCTAAGGGCGCCTATCTCTATGGGCGCCTATCTCTAGGGGCGCCTATCTCTATGGGCGCCTATCTTTAGCGGCGCCTACCTCTATAGGCGCCTATATATAGGGGTGTCAATCTCTAGGGGCGCCTATCTCTATGTGCGCCTATCTCTATGGGCGCCTGTCTCTAGGGGCTCCTATCTCTAAGGGCGCCTATCTCTATGGGCGCCTATCTCTATGGGCGCCTATCTCTAGGGGCGCCTATTTCTATGGTCGCCTATCTCTATGGGCGCCTATCTCTAGGGGCGCCTATCTCTACGGGCGCCTATCTCTAGCGGCGCCTATTTCTATGGACGCCTATCTCTAGGGGCCCCTATCTCTAGGGGCGCCTATCTCTAGGGGCACGTATCTCAAGGGGCGTCTATCCCCAGGGGCGCTTATCTCTAGGAGCGCCTATCTCTAGGGGTGCCTATCTCTAGGGGCAGCTATCTCTAGGGGCACCTATCTCTAAGGGCGCCTATCTCTATGGGTGCCTATCTCTATGGGCGCCTATCTCTAGGGGCGCTTATCTCTTGGGGCGCCTATCTCTAGGGGCGCCTATCTCTAGGGGTGCCTATCTCTAGGGCCGCCTATCTCTAGGGGCGCCTATCTCTGATTGCGCCTATCTCTAGGGGCGCCTATCTCTATGGGCGCCTATCTCTATGGGCGCCTATCTCTATGGGCGCCTATCCCTAAGGGCGCCGATCTCTATGGGCGCCTATCTCTATGGGCGCCTATCTCTATGGGCGCCTATCTCTAGGGGCGCCTATCTCTATGGGCGCCTATCCCTAAGGGCGCCTATATCTATGGGCGCCTATCTCTATGGGCGCCTATCTCTAGGGGTGCCTATCTCTAGGGGCGCCTATCTCTATGGGCGCCTACCTCTATGGGCGCCTATCTCTATGGGCGCCTATCTCTATGTGCTCCTATCCCCAAGGGCGCCTATCTCTATGGGCGCCTATCTCTATGGGCGCCTATCACTAGGGGCGCCTATCTCTAGGGGCGCCTATCTCTATGGGCTCCTACCCCTAAGGGCGCCTATATCTATGGGCGCCTATCCCTATGGGCGCCTATCTCTA